AACCCAAATCCGATCTGTTTGTCAAACGGGTTGACCATAACCTGGAATTTTCATGTCGGGTTTTCAAATCGTGTAAAATATTGACACCCGTAAAAGGCTTGATATTGTTGTTGTATTAAATGGGTCAGATACAAGTTGACCGAATTCAGGTTGGATCGATTTTGAGTTGGATCCGAACCTGATCAGTTGACTCATTTTGACACCATTACTCCTAATGTTATTGTTAATGACTTTATTTTTTCTGCCAATTCATTTCAATAAAAACATCAAATATTATTAAAAAAATTATCTTGACTAAGCCAGAAACATAGATGAATAAAATTGTATGCGAGCCAAGTTAAAATTAATTAAAAAGTTTAATTATTATTTACTAACTGAGTTTTTTTTTTTGGTTTGATAATAGAATTTTGTAGCTGTTATGTATTATTTTTATACAAAAAGAAGCCACAGTTACTCACATGGAGATGGATGACCTGCTCAACCAACTCCCTAATTTGCGTCCTGCTCAGTATTTTCAATTCATTAAAGAGACTAACAGATAACGTACATCGCATATTAATTTCTTCTCCTTGAAGTAAGCCACCATTTCTTAAGAAGAATTGTTGAATAAGAGCTTTAAATTGATAATACTATAGGCGTTGGCGCTCATAAATTTGAAATCATAACGATTTAGCACATAATATGTCAACTCCCACAATCACTTCTCGAAGATTCCCTTAACATTTTCAGTCACAAAATCACTAAAAAGATGTTGAACCACCATACTTCGTATTCTGAAGGGGGAGTTCATCTATCATGGCTAGGATTAATTATTCTGTGCGGATGTTGAACGCCGTCGGAGACCAACCAGAATGCGCCATGTCACCCCTTCGCTTGGTACCGCTAAAGTGGCACACTCTGATTGGTCTCTGGACGGCGTTCTACGTCCGGTCTCTGCACAGAATAATCTCTCTATGACTAGACTAAAGTTTTATTTGAGACTTTTTTCTTACTATTTTAAAGCAATTTTTAGTACAAAGATTTTTACTAAAAAACTGCTTTAGAAAATAATAAGAAAACTGTCTCAAATGAAACCTATGTCACAAGCAAGCTTAGAGGAAAGCAAAAGAATAAAGATTCCCATCCTGCACAAGAAGTAAATAGTGAAGGAATGCAAAGAATATATAGGATTACAATGCACAAAAGATTAGTTTTTTTTTTGAAAGAAAAAGTTTCATATGTAACGAGTAGATGGGTTAAATAAAACCACGATTACAAAGAACATTTACACAGGAAAGCTTCATCATCATCATTGTTTCCAGATGAACCCACAAAATCCAGGTAATTATTGATTTTGCTCCTGAACTAATCACCGATAATTGAGATGAGAATGGTTGCCTCTTCAGTATCTAGACCACTATCTGGTAGAGAAATTCTTCTTTTAGGCTTTTCGGCTTTCTTCGCTTCAGGTTTGTCCATATCATTATCTCCATGACTTGATTCTCCTGCAGCAGAAGTACCCTTCTCTTTAGCTTCTTCTATAGTTTTTTCTTCTTTTTCTTTCACCTTCTTATAATCTGATAAAAGGTTCAAGAGCTCGTCAACACAATCCTCCATTGCTCATAAAACTTGTGCACAAAAGATTAGTGTAGGTTCTAATGAGTATTTATAGGTCTTAATAGTGTGCATGAAATACAAGAAAAAGCATCATCAAAGCTACTGTATATGCATTAATTCTCAGGATATAGTCATTTAAGGAAACCATTGGCACTTTTTTTTTTCCTTAAATAATTATATTGTCCAGATGATTTCAATAATTTCAAGCAGAAGATCATTGGATAGGCTTGATCAGTGTACTGTGAATTATCTGAACAAACACTACAATCTGGGTGGTGAGTATAATTTGAAAGAAGATTGGATCAGAATGCTCTGATTAAAGTTTTAACACTAGACTTTTTTTAGGTACGAGTATAATATGAGTTGTATTGATTTCAAAGCAAGTCTGATTAATATAAAACTTATCATTATGAAATATAATTCCTAAGTATTATTTAGAAGACATATTGAAAAGATTGTTTATTGAATTTGAAATAAGAAATAAATATTAAATGAAGTTAAAAAATATAAAAATTTGTAAATACATTTATATGAGTATTGAGAGTATATAAAATAATATTTAATCAATCTTTTAAAGGCTCTCAAAAAAGTTCCAAATTTGCATATTCAAGTAACTTTGGATTTGTTGCGTGAAAGAAATCAAGCGGGCTAAGTGGGAGATCAAACTCAAGCTTCGTTTGAGACGGTTTTTTTATAGCTTCTTAAAATAGCTTTTTAATATAAAAATTAAAATTTTGTATTAAAAAGTTATTTTAAGAAGCAATTAAAAAGTCGTCCCAAACGAAATCTCCATCATCATATTTTTTTCAATCATATATTCAAAGTCAATTAAGTAAAGGGCAGAGCATATGATTTTTTAAGTAGAAGGGGAAAAACTCTAGAGCCTCGCATAGTCCAATGGCTTCTACTATAATAAATCAATCAAAAGTTTCAATTGCGGTTGGAAAAAGAATATAGATGCAGCTTACTCATATGAAGCTACAATGCAAGTTTGTAATCTATAAAAAATTGTGATTGAAAGCTTTTATGCTCCTAGAGGTGGTTATGGTGCATTTGACTCTTAAGAACAAAGATTGTGGTATAGTAAGAGGCAATTATAATAGAAGGACGGAAGGCTTGCAACATACTCATTCATAGATAGCTATAACATAAATCTTAGGAACAATGGCTACAATTTACCTGTAGATAGTTTTGGGCATAAAACTTATAAGAGAGGGTTGCACTATATATATATATAGGGTTCTTCTTGTCGACTATAAGCATGTCATAATTGGAGATCATTTGATTACTTAATTAATACTTTGAAGATTTTAAGTACACTTCAGTGTCTTGATTTGAGCCCGTTTGAACTCAGATTAGACCGATTTTGATGTCATTGAGTTCATCTTATTGAGACGTTTAGTTTGACGGTAAGCTTGCTACGATTAGAATTCGGATGGTCACAAATTTAATTTTAAAAGTTTCTTGTTCAAATATGCATCGAGATTAGTGCTTTGATCAAGTTGATTTTTGGTGATGTATCAAATATAAATTTGATATTTATTTATAATTAAAATAGGTTAAAATATTACAATAAGAAAAAAAATATATATATGATTGATGATTAATATTAAAATATAATCCATATTAAATTATAATTATAAATTTAAATATTAGCTGATTCAATTTGCAATATAATTTATAATATTAAAAGATTTACTTCAAATCTAAAAGTGACGTGCCACATTCTGATTCCATCATTAATTTAACATCCACATAAACATAACAAATCATTAACATAAGCCAAATGTTTCTTTGCTATTATCAAAATTGTGGAGTTGATATGGAAAAACTCACAGGCTAATACATTATAAGGCAAATACTATTAAGTACTTACAATAATATTATAATTTTTAATTTCTCATAGCAAAACACACTTGCACATACCTTTCATATTTCTTGAAAACTCCTGAAATTTTATAAATTTATATTGGACATATATATTAAACATAAATTACATCATTTTCTTAAAAAATATATATATATTCATAATTGATTTAGATGTCTTATAATATTTCTTATCATTTCCCACATGAACATTATATCATATTTGCAATGTAAGGTTCATCAATATCAAAATAGGGGTGTCAAAATTGAATTACAGGTCATATTTGGGTCAAACCTGACATTGACACAATTCTTGTTTGACACGATCTGAGCCGACTCATTTTTACAAACGGATCAAATTGTATAACCCGGACCGAACAAGTCTGACCCGGGGCCAAGCAGAAATGGCAATCGAAGCCGCACTTTGCGGCACATGTTGGTGACGTGAAGGGGAGCAGAGTGGTGCGGAGGAGGTGAGTGATCTGCTTTGTGAGGAGTAGAGTTAGGGTTTTACTGGTTTCTAGAGGTGTGGATGGGGAGCAATTCGTCGAAGGAGGTCTCATATCAGCAGAGTTAGGAGCGATGTAGGAGCTACAGTCCCAGCGCCGATGTTAGCGAGTTAGAGAACTCCAATGGGTTTTGTGGCCACCCCTTCACTTTTGGTGCTTCAAGTTCATTTGCATCTTCGCCGTTGGATATTGGGAAATCCTACCTTGCCGGGGCCACAGGGATGCGACTAGACCGTGCTAGCAGCAGAGAGGATTGACATTTCCGGGTTGGTCACTTGGACTCGCGCAATTAGTGTCATAGGGCTTGCAGGCGGGAGTGGACTGACGTTTTCGGATCAAATATGGGTCATTCTAAGGTTTTCGGTTCAGCCCGAATCTGATCCAATTTTTGAAACGGGTCAATTTGTTAGATCCAAATCTGACCTGTATGACAAACGGATTGACCCTAACCCAAAATTTTTGAGTCAAATTCATGTCTAATTTTCTGTTGGTATCAAATATTGACACTACTACGTCAAAGCCTGAGCTAGGATTTCCATCCAGGTAGTACAAACCTTCCCTAAAATTTAAGCAAGCAATCGAATTCATTGAATCTAGTTGGATTTCCGTCCAGGTACAACGCCAGCTTGGACGGTTGCCTTGTCATTGCATAAGATGTACCGCAGTAATCAGAATACCTTATAAAATGCTGTGCATATTTTGTATTATATATATATACCGGATATTAATAAGCACATATATAAATTATTGTATATAATTTGTTAAGATTTGATATTGAATTCTTCTGAGTTACATTCAAATTTAGCAATTTTTTTTATTTTTAGTTAAATTAAAATCAACTCGCTAGTTAATAAATTAATTTATCTTTCTTCATATCATTATTTTTAAAAATAAGAAAATTTAAACTACAATATAATCAAAATAAATTTTATATATTATAAAAATTCAAATTATCATCATTTTTTTAATTTATGAATTTTAAAAGAAATTATAATTTTAATATAGTAACAAATCATATTTGAAAATTTTAATAGGATATTAAGTTGAGACAGCGTGACCGACACTATTTTGATCCGGATTGCGAGAAGCTCATCCGCCGGACCAACGCACCGGTAAGATTCCGATAAACGCGAAGCGGCGCTACCCTCCGACTCTGCGAGTCACCCGCCCTGTCTCCTCATCTGTTTCAGGTCGATGGAGAAGTGCGCAGCCATGGCGACGAGCTCGAACCTAGTGAGAACTAGCATGTCTCTGTGCCCTAAAGCCTGTCGTGCGCGTTATCATCGGCAAGCCTCTCCCCCGGGCTTCTCGCCTCCTTTACTTCTGCGCCCTTCCTTTGGCATCTACCGTAGCAACAAAAGAGTTGGCGGGGAAGGAACTGGCGGGGTTATGGAAGTGCGATCGATGTCCTCTTCTTCCGCTCCCTCTTCGTCGTCCTCCTTCGGGGCGCGGCTTGAGGAGACGGTGAAGAAGACGGTGGCGGAGAATCCGGTCGTCGTCTACTCCAAGACATGGTGCTCGTGAGTTACCTGATGCCCTATTTTTTAACTAAGTTCTGTTTTAATTCATTGTTGCGCTATTCTGATTTCTTGGGACGTGGAGGTACTCGATGGAGGTGAAGGCGTTGTTCAAGCGAATTGGAGTGGATGCCCTCGTCATCGAGCTTGACCAGCTAGGTAAATATTTAGGTCTTTTGTCCTTTTTAGAAGTTTTGTTGTTTCTTTTGCCCTGTTTTCATTATTTGATCATTTATATGAAGGCTGGAGAATATTGTCTGCTTGAGTTTACTACTTCTTACTGCGCTTTGGACCGAAGGAAACTAGTTTTGCTGGAGTTCAAAACCTGTGAAACTCTGGCTAGGCTTGCTGTGAACATCGGGAACAGTGGGATGAATGGTGATGTTTGAACTTTCTGGAAGTATTGAGCTTGTGTGAACGCGAGAGTGGCCTTTCTGCTTTTCATTTGAAGTAGATTGGCGGCAGATGGGAATAAGTCTTCTTGAGTTTTTACTTGAATCTCAAAACTTAATTCATAGGGCTGAAATCCTTCACTCGTTTCTTTGATTATGCTTAGAACCACCAAAATATAGGACAGAACTGTTAATTAGTTCCAGGGTACCTTGCTAATGATTACAACAGTAAAAGTAGTAGCCATTGCCAGCTTAGACATTTGGTGGATACTTCGTCTACAAATTTCTTAGTTTTCTCGGTCTTTGTTTTGTCCGGCAATAATTCCCAGGGCTTGAGCTAAAAGCTTAAGCTCATTGTCAAAATTGTGGACTTTTGGAATTTGTTGAAGTCCGCTATAGTAAATTCTACCTGATCTTAAATTATGGGACAAACTTTCTACTTGATATATAGCCTCTTATTTGGGCAGGATTTGTGTAGAATAAAAAATACATCCTTTGATGTATTTAGTGCATCCTTGGCTTGCAATCCTAATTTTGAACTCACACTCTACACTGCAACTATAGCTTGAGACATCTCGAAAGGATTGGAGCACATTGGTAAATGGAGTGATTATCACATCTTTAATTATTGACTACCTTCTTTTTTATGTTTTTTATATTGTTTTAAGGCATAACGAGGGGAGGGTGAATTTTGCGTGCTTTTTTTTGCATTTTAGAAATTTTCTCTTAAAATTCAACCAAGCCAATCCCACATTAGCATGATAGTTATAATGTAAAGCAGAACAAGATAAGTTGTTCTATTATCTATACTATGCACTATAGCACATAAACAAGTTGAAGTAAACACATGTATACTATTATGACAATCATTTTTGTATAGAGGTGCACAAGATATGATATTGCTAGCAAATGAGCAATCTAGGTCTAGGCATTATGATAAAAATCACATTTAACATTCTTAGTATAATAAATAGTTTCTAAGTAACTTGACAAACGAGTCCACAAAATATATATGCGGTGATGTTATGATGGTCGAAAGATAATCACACTGCTATGAGAGGATATTAAACAATCTAGATCACAATTGTAATTGTAGCTCTATCTCATAATTACAAGTACATTCAATGTGAATCACTATGTAAAAAAATGCCAATTACTATTAATTACAAAAGTATGATGATAATGGGAATGAAACAATGCTAAGTGTGATTAGTTAATATAGAGTTTAATGTAGAGATAGCGTTGGAACATTAGCATGCATATAACCATTCAATCATAACATCTATGTGAATCAAGCTAAGTGTAATGTAAAGTAAATCTAAAGATGAAGAAATAAGATAATGACATTTACATGGTTCAACCCAATTTGGCCTACATTTACACCTAAGCACTCACTCGCTTAGTATTCCATTGCCAATCACAACTTTGCTCATAAATCTTTGAGAAATCATCACACATTCTTCGTTCATAGGGGAAAAGACCTCACCTTGATTATGGATAACAGCACGCTCTTAGCTAACATTTAGCAATATAAGAAATACCTTCTTCCAAAGTCTCCCAAAACTTTAGTGGTGAGTAACACTATTGCCAATAACTATAAGAGTAACACAATCTCAATAAAAAATGATTGCAAAATATATAACAAAAATCACTTGCAAATTTCCTTAGAGATTAAAAGAGACTCCTCCACAAGTGGAGGAATCAAGGATTTTTTTTCTTAGGATAAACACTTCAAAGTCTTCTTTAAGATGATAAACCTTTAAGCATAAGTTTCTCTCCTAATTTTTGACATTGCTTTCGAGTATAATGATTAATATTTAAGCTACTAGAACATCCAATCTATATAAAAGATGAATGGAGATGAAATCCAATCAAAACATCAAATTTAAGCTATTTAAATAAAAAATTATTAAATTTCAAATGACTCCAAAAATTAGTCATTCAATGTAGTTTTGTAAATGAGTGAGCTTTTATTTCTCCTAATTTTTTACATTGATGTTGAGTAGAATGATCAATATTTAAGCTGCTAGAACATCCGATGTATATAAAAATGAATTGAGATGAAATCTAATCAGAACATCAAATTTCAATTATCTAAATAAAATATTCAACTTTGAATTACTCCAAATAGTACTTGTTCAATGGTATTTTATAAATAAGTTTTCTACCATAATTTATGATTTTAAATGCCTAAATTATGATATTATATATTAAATTATATGTAAGCAACTCAATGGAATCAAAATTAAGCTTAAATTATTTTACAAAAGTTATAATTAATTAATTAATAGTTATTATATATGTTGCATGCTAGAAAATTTATAGTGATAGAGTGAGTTTTATTTCCTAATTTTGCATGAAGATCCTATATGCATAGAGATAGAAGAATATAGGAGATACTAGAGTTTTTATATGAAAATTTTGAGTAGGAAAAAAATCATAGGGCTGGCCCAACTGAAATATCCCACTATATACTTGCAATTATAAAAATGTACTCTTCTCCACAATTGCAGAAGGTGATATTACAAAATTGGCAGTACTTGTGTGGTCTCTTGTAATTATAATAGAGATTTTAGGAGAAATAATCAAGATATGATGAGTATAGTCGAACAATATTAGTTGTATAATAGTAGTCGGATGACCATAGTGTCTTGTGGTAATCGTCGGAGTCGAATGTCGAGTATAAGTCTAGAGCTCTCAGATCTCCAAGCTCTCTCCAATCTCAAATCTTGATCACTTTCATGCGGAGAATGAGTAACATTTAATATTATTTTGAGGGTGATATTTTAGTAAATTCAGCTAAAATTTTGTAGCACTATCAATGATCGATATTGAATCCTTGGATTATAGACTATTTATTAAGCTTTTAAGTGCTTTAAAGACATCAAAATCAAATGATCTTGGGCTTGCTATATTTGTCTTGTTGAGCCTCTCTATTTGATTATAACCATGAAAAATTTGGAGATTGTTTGATCATTGATTATTGTTTTGAAATTTTTAAATATTCTTCAAGTGCTTGATTTGGATTTCATTTGGACTTTAGATTAGATCACTTTTGATATAGTTGGGTTTTCTTGTTGAGGCAGTTAGTTCAATTATAAAGTTGTTGAAATTGGAGTTTGGATGATTATGCTCTTAATTCCATAAATTTAAAATAGAAAATAGCATCGAGATTCATGCCAATTTAGCAAATTTTTGGATATGTAGCAATATCATATTTAGCAAATTTAAAGGATTAAATGGGAGACATTCAAAATCAAATGAAGTTGTTGAAATAAACGAGACGAAAGTAATGACTATTTAATGATATGCATATCTAATATTAATTTCTTAATTATGTAAAAAATGATATAATTAGCTAAGTAATTAGAATTAGCATAAAATAAGCATAATTAGCAAATTCAGTCGAATGATTATGAAAATTAAGATCAGACAAATTTGTTAAAAATATGGGTGATCAAAATCATAATTTTGAATGAATTATAAAAGTAATATAAATTATCAAACACTATAGATTGATATAAAATAACTTTTATAATAATTTAAATATAATTTTTTTCATTATCCTTAAATCTTTGGCTGATCTTACTAAATTTAAATGAATAATCTAAACACTCGCACTAGACTACATCAACCATGGATAGCAATGCACTTGTGTTTTCATGAATCCACTTGAGTTCTTCAAGTGATTAAAGCTCAGAGCTAGTCTAGTTGATATCAACATCATCATCGTGATTGCTACTATATTTAATTATATACAGAAATGCTTAACAAATCATTAGATGACACCACAAATTTTGTCATCACAAAATCAATGATGAGTACACATGAGTTTTATAGGCTCATGGGATCAATAATTTATTTGAAAGAATTGCATATTTGTTGTGTCATGACTTGAGTTGTGAATCTATATGCTAATGTCTTTGCATTTCTAATATGCACTTTTCCCAAAAAATTTGTCCCAAAAATTTGCATTTTAACTTCATAACTTAACGTAAGTGTAATTCTTTCCACGGCAAGAGATCAACTTTTGAACAACCTTTTGGATACAATGGTGGGCAAACATGTGACATGAGAATTTTCATGCAACTTATGTTGTTGGCTATGCCAATATACTTGAGCTCATTTTTTAATCAACTTCATTCACTACCAACCAACAAGAAGCTGTCTTATTATCAACTTTCACTAAATCTTCCGCTACAAATTTAGTTTGTGTTTTCATATGATCTTAATTTCATGGCATAAAGCAAACCAAAAAAACCTTCCTGTAATTATATAAACTCATGTACCACATGTTTGACGGTGGTATTGTTGTTTATGGTGTTGGTATGAATGTCAATGTAGCCTTGAAGTCTGTCCATAACCAATCTGACATTCGTTTGTTACTGCTTAGGTCCTCAAGGTCCGCAACTACAAAAAGTCTTGGAAAGACTTACGGGACAATTTACAGTTCCTAATGTTTTTATCGGTATGTAACATGTTTTTTTTATTTGCTTGTTGTATGTGACAAATTTTGTTCTTTGAAACCTTTGCCTGCATTAAGCAAAATATGATTTTATGTTTTTTTGTTTTTCCATTACGGATGTACGTTGTTTCAATGCATCCTTAAGTTAATAAAAGCAATTTGAACTAATTGCTCCAGTTACCTGACTCTGTAAGAGAACACATGTAAGTAATACTTTTTCTGATATTTTTGCAAATGAGCATACCGAATTTCATTCTCTTTATAACTACTGACATATTTTTCTGTCCTTTCAAATTTTAGTTCATTTTTTAAGCTAATTCTTCTGAATGCTTGTTGATTTATTTCATCGTCATCATTATCATTTGGCTTACCCCAACTATTTTGGATCAACTTTTTGAATCCCATTCTCTAATCGTTCCTGTTGAATACTGCATGAGGTCTAGCATTTGTTCTATGTTAATATTTATGCTAACTTATATTCTTATTATTTTGTCTTTTCTCTCTTTCTAATCTTGACACTAATTTTATCTACTTATCATATATGTGTCCGAGCCATATAAGTCTATTCCCCACTTTTATCTTTAATAGATGTTATTTTTGCCATATCTCTAACATAAGTAATCCTCAATTTATTCTTCCTAATTTTGTTACACAGTACTTGGATTGTGCAACATACCCAACCTAATGCAGTTGTATACAAATACAATTTACCCGATAAACATCTATGATATTATGATAGGAAGTTGATATAATTTCCTCGAAATTAACAAACAACAATAAGGAATTAGGAAGAATAACTCACCAAAAGTCCTTTTTATTACAAGATATATGAAAGAAAACAACAAATACAGTTGGATCTTCAATTGGAGAGGAAGATCCGACTCTCTCAAATCCCTAGCCGGGGACTAGAGCCCTCACAAACTAAGAAATTCTAATTTCAGCCAATTCAAAATATAATCCTTAAATCATCCTATTGTTAGCCTTAAATAAGCTCTCTTAATTCCCTCCTAAATCAACTCTCTTTCCCTAAATAATTCTCTCTCATATTTAAATTCAAATCAGATCTCTTGCCCTAAATAATTTCATCCCAATTATAATTAAAACTTTCTTAAACAATTCTCTCTTTACTCCTCAGTTTTCCTAAATAATTCTCTCTAAGATATTTTATTTGAAATTAGATCTATTGCCCTAAATAATTCCCTCACAATTGTAATTAAGAATTTCATAAATAATTCTTCTTTGATTAAGAACCTTCCTAAACAGCTCCCTCTTGATTAGAAAACTTTTTAATTCATTCTCAATCAAATCGATCCGTCCATATTATTTACCACATAGCCAACCTAATGTAATGAACCCTATTATAACATGCAATATGAAATGATAATTAAATTAAGAGTTCCAAACTGTAAAGTTGCTGAAATTCCAGAAAAATAAAGGAAAAAAAGAAAATTCATCCTTTAATGATGAAACACTTGAAAGAAATTGATATGCCTTGGAGATAAAAATAACAAACAAACAATGAAAAATTTATAGAAATACTAATATCAATGGTTAATTTTGGATTATAACTTCAATACGAAAAACAAGATACATGTGATCTACAATTCGAGAGGTAGATCGGCTCATCCAAACAACCTAGATGCCGCTAGGAAGCTCTCACAAAAAGAAAACTACAACAACTCTCAGATAAAATTCTCCATACAAAACAAAATATAAACCCTACTACTTACAGCAAACAATGAACAACAAATACCATAATAGTCCTCCCCCAATTCTCTCCCAAATATGCCCCCTAAATCTGCACTCTTCAATTAGGAAACATCTCCTAATTAATCTCCTCCAAATCAGCACCCAAATCTCTCCTTTTAAATAAGGAACATCTCCTAATTAATTCCCTCCAAATTAGCCCCCAAAGCAGCCCTTTTTAATTTGGAAACATCTCATAATTAATCCCCTTCAAATTAGCCTTATTTCCTTATAAATTTCCCTCCCCTATTTGAAATCAAATATGAGATCTTTCCCTTATTAATTCCCTCCTTAATTCTCTTCCTAACATAATGAATTATTGTTATGCTAGGTCCCATAGGGGGGGTCGAAATCTCTCTGGAGTTAGATTCCAGGTTTTGCCCCCTCCACTACCTGTAGGATTATGAACTTCCTCTACCTACGGGGTAGAATCTGACTGATGATCAGATTCCTTGAAGGACACTTCAAGGTGTCGATCATCACATGATTTGTCAATGGGAAATTTAAAACTCATTCTTGATGGATTTTGTCAATGACGGATCTCTGGTATTATAAAGTAGATATCACGCTGTGCAACTTCTTGATAAATTTTTTTTCACAAGATTTTGACCTTCATATTTGTTTTCTTTTTTGCTTAGGACCTTTCCATGAGAGATTCTTAAACTTGAGGTCAAGTGTTACACCTCAAAATTCACCTTGCAAGCTTGTTTTTTTTAAAGCCATAACAGATGACAATTTTGTGGTAGGAATTTTTTTGGGCCTCTATGATAACCGGTCTTCATGCTTTGTCGTCATCTTAACCTTCTTTTTCATCACTTTCAAAACTTTATGTAAACTTGCTGATAAAAATTCAATGCCATTTTTTAGAGTAGATACTTGGCATTACTGTTGGATCCAGGATGACTCCTTTAAGTTACCAACAGAATTTTCCTTTTTTGCCTATTTCAAATTTTAGAATTTATTTTGAATAGGGATTTTCGTAACATATAGTTGATTGCTCAAGTTATAATTGTTGGGCTTGCATCTCAGCATTGCGCCTTCTCTTCTGTCTTCTGAACAACTTTTATTTAAATGAGGAAGCTTTAGAGTCATCTTTCTCCAGTTCATTTGTGCAGCCAAAATCTAAAATGCTAGAAACCTTTTGATGGAGGAAATGTGGAAGATGGTCACAATTATACCCATATTATTATCATTATTCCTCCAAATATCTGAGGTCAGGCTCGACTTCCATTACTCTTGGGGACTTGTGTAGCTTTGTATGACATGCCAATGTATAGAGGACTTGACCAAGCTGGCAGGAGGAGAGGGAGAGAGGACAAGCAATGAACGAGTAGAGAACAAAACTAACAAAGAAGATGACTTAGTTGTGATCATCGATCAGCAAGGAAAAGGAGGTGCCACACTCATTTTGTCTGGACTCTTAGTCTAGACCCTAACACATGCTGGCTTCATGCTTTATGTCCAATTGTTGTGATTAAAATCTTTATCCGGCTGTGATAAAAAAACTGTGTTGGGAGGGAAAAGAAAAATAAAACTAAACCTGTCCTCAACCTCAAACCAACCTCTCACTTAAATGCATAACCTTCAGCATTGCGCCATGTTAACTATCATTGTTAATGTCATACATATTTTCAAGAGGATTTGAATCAATTTTGAAGCAAGCGAGCATTATTAAACTTGACATCAACTTGAAATGATTTTTGAGCCAGAGCTTGACATTGTTGGAATTGACTCGAGTCGATTACAATTCTACTCAAATTTTGAGCAACTTTTGAGCTCTGATTATTTTTTTCACCCTTTATATTTAAATCTCAGGAAACATTTAATTCTAAGAATGCTGAGGCGCAGAAAAAAAGTCAAGTCTTAAAGTTTCTTCATTTCTTAGTTTTGCTAATGAATGATTTTTTAGAGTATATTTTCAATTAAAATATGTTTTGATTGAATTAATCATCATTTTAGGATCCTAAAATTTTTATCTAATGCAACTTTTTTTTTCCCCGTCCTGTCTCCATTCTGAAAACAAGTTTAAATTGCTGGTACTATTGTTTGCTATGTAATCTTAATCTTCATCTCAAACTATAATACAAGTTATTTCCCATCTTTTAAAAGGTTTTATCTTATGAACAGGGGGAAAGCATATTGGTGGTTGTACAGGTACAAATATTATTCTTGCATTTATCCATTCGAAGTTTCTGGTTTTAACTTTTATATCACTGTTATTTTTCTTTGATAACTAGCCTGCCTGGTTGGAAATTCAGTCATGTTCAAGAATACCAAAATAATATAAATAATGGGACATGGATGTTCTTAGTAGATATTTGCAAGAGGATGTACCCTGGTGTATGCTTTTTGCTAATGATATTCTTCTTGTTGATAAGACTAGAGAGGGAGTTGACGGTAAACTCGAATTATGGAGGTCAACCTTAGAGTTTAAAGGTTTTCATTTGAGTAGATATAAAACTGAATACATGGAGTGTAATTTTAGTAGTAATAGATTTAGTGAGGGGCTTTGTGACGTTGAGCGATCAGATCGTTAATAAGTATACTCATTTTAGATATCTTGGGTCTATTGTTCAGAGTGATGGTGAAATAGATTGGGGATATTATTAGTAGAATTCAAGTTGGATGGTTGAAGTGGATGAATGCTTTGGGTTTGTTGTGTGATAGAAAAGTACCACACAAACTTAAAGAAAAATTTTCTAAGCTGGCGGTGAGATCTACATTGCTTTATGGTGCAGAATATTGGCCATTTAAAGAGAAGCATAATATTCAGTTAAGTGTTGCTAAGATGAGGATGCTCAAGCGGATTAGTGGATTTACTCTTAGAGACAGGATATGAAACGAGCATATCCGTGAAAAGGTTGGAATAGCCCCAGTGACAGATAAGATTAGATAGAGAAACCATAGATGATTTGGTCATGTAAAACGGCAGCCTTCCGATGACCCTTTTAGTAGAGTAGATGTATTATATTTGATCTATGTTAAGAAAGGTAGATATAGACTTAAAAAGTCTTGTTTAGAAATATTAGAAATGACATATTTTTATTATATTTAAATGAGAATTTGACTCTTATTAGAACACACTGGAGAAAAAAGATTCATTTAGCCGACCCCACTTAGTGGGATAAAGGCTTGATATTGCTGTTGTTGTATTATCCTCTCATAAGCAAGGAATGGCATCTTCGTTACACAGTTTGGATTCCTGTGGAAGTCCATTAGTATTCATCTCTAATTGTACATTACACCTTTCTATGCTTACATTTTCTCTTTTTGCTGAAGAAAATGAGTTTGTAATACCTTCGGTTCATATTTGCTTTGATGCAGATACTGTAAAGCTTTACCGCAAAGGAGAGCTCACTCCCATGCTATCAGAACTAAACATCAACACAAAGAGATTGCAACAGCCTTAGCTGAGAAGTCCAGGTTTGCAAAATAATTTTATTAAGTGGGTGCTCATATGTATTGATTTTTTATGATTTTCCTTTGTATGATAACCTTTTACCCCGTACAATTAAACTATTCAGTCCATGTTAGTCTTGTAGGACAGTGGAGAGATTATTCTGTGCGGCATTTGACCGGAGGCAAATTCAGACATGTCACATCACCGAATACATTGGGCCCCCGGTGACGTGGCATATGGATTCGCCTCCGGACGCCACACAGAATAATTTTTCTCTTGAAAATCCCGAAGTTTAGTAGAATCTTTAAATTGTGAGATTGTGCATAAAAACATCAACAGCGCAATCTGCTAATAGTGCAACGAGTTAGAATTATATCACCATAGGGCCATTGGTGATCTATATGGATTAGAAATTCCTAATTTATTAAGCATAATTTTTTTTTTTTTTTTTTTTTTTTTTTTTTAATATCACCATAGGGCCATTGGTGATCTATATGGATTAGAAATTCCTAATTTATTAAGCATAATTAAATATTTTAAAACTGTTCTATCATGTTTAATTAATTATTTTTAAAGAGCATAAAAAACTTCCTCGCAAGAATCATCTCCCCTCGTTGCTTCAGAATCTACACTAAGGGTTGATTGAAATGGATTTTACCATTCAACCGAACAATGGTAGAGATTAGACGTTCCATGATTTTGACTTAGTTTAGGATGATTTTTTGCTGTTTTTTTTAAATATTTTTTTAGTTAAAACTTTTAATTTTTATAATAAAAAGCTGTTTCAATAAATAATAAAAAAACCGTCATAAACAAACCTTTTATAATAGCCAAGTGATGGCTGAAATAATATTTACGTTTATGAATGTTGCAAAATAAGATTTATTTAGACTTCAATTGAGCCAGCAATAAAAGAAAAAATAGTATAAAATTTTTTATTTTAAAAATTTTTTATTAAAAAATAATTACAAAACTGTCCCAAATAAATATTAATATAAACATTTTTAAAATCTATTAACAAATTCCGCTGGGTTTTTGTTAAACCTGGTATTCTCCTTGGCATGTAAAAGCTATAGACAACTGAGAATGTCAAATATCTTATTTGATGGGTCTTGTCTCTTGTACATACATGCCAGAAGTTTAGGATCTTCCAAAAGTGATTATAAAACATTTGATTTTCTAATTATTGATTTTTCAAATGCAAATAAGAAAACATGCTTTTATATTCTAATCAAATATAAATATGATATCAACATCAAGTAACTTAATTGATAAAACCCTTAAAATTATTATTATTATCTGTAGATCAAATACCACCCATATCAAATTTACACATCAATTTAAATTTAGTGGGAAAAAAATTGTTAATATGATGTTATGATAAGTATATAGAAAAGGCCAAGAAGGTAATTTCCAAGATCAATTGAAGAAGGTTTCTAATTCAGATTTTATTTGGGATGATTTTTTTATTATTTTTAAATAAAAAATATATTGAAAACGGAAAATAATAATAATCTAAAATTATTTCAAATGAAATCTAAGAATTACTGGTGTACATAAAAGTTGTCTGCTCATAATAGCTTTCTAAAACGAAGAAAAAAAAAAAAGCTCTATCCAGAGAGTTGCAAGAGTCGAGCCATCGCGAAAATTCTTCTAAACAAAATGTTGCTTGAAAGATAATCATATATTTCCCCTAACAAAAATACTTCTTTATGCATTTAAAATTACGGAAACATTCTCTGCCAAAAGTTTTTTTTTTTTTTTGGTTTGAGAGAAAAAAATGAAACACCAAATGTTCTGTTATCATCACAGCAACAAAAACAGAAAATTTACTTGTGCACTGAGTTATATGGGGCTAAACCATATGAATAAATTCAACGGTCTTGAAATTATTTATAAATGAAAATCTTACAAATCAAAGGCAACATGCCATTCAAACAGAAAAATAAAATTAAAGAATTATCTTCAAAAAGAAATCACCAAATCTTATTTTCAATGAGCATCACTGTCTAATGGATGCAAGTGAAAAATAATTAATGAGGATGATCCTGAACAAAAATCTGAAAAATTATTCTGTGCGGACACCAAATGCCGTCTGGAGACCAATAAAAATGCACATCGTCACTCTTTTAATGTAACGCAGCTCGATACTGCTCGGTACTGTGGCTTGATACCGCTCGGTACCGAGACTCTGTAACACTCGGTACCGCGGCATCCGGACATAGAGTTGTGTCCGGCATCCGCACAAAATAATTTCTCTAATAATCTAGAGGGATTTTTTCCCAATAGATTTGTACTGGGATCAATGCCTTTCAATTTGCAAGAAGTTCAAAGCAATTTCATTGGCCAAATATCACTCTATTTTTCCTCGGAGATCATTCTGCCATAATTTTCTTCCATTCTAACAGAAAATAAAGTCAAAGAACTGATCTGAAAATGTAAGTTTACAAAATGTTTTGCAAGAGCATCAACATCCAACAGGTTGCACGGGGAAAATAAAAGTTAAGGATGATTCTGAGGAAAAATTAGGAGGGATTTTTGACATTAGATTTTCATTAGGATCAATATCTTCGAATTTGCATTGATCCCAATGAAGAATCCCCGAGTCACAATCACAATAATGGAATCAGAATTCAAGCACAGAAGGATAAATTTTACAAGTTAAATTTGTTACAGGGATTTAATACCTGGAATTATAACAATTCTTCGCTCATTACAGTTGTTGAAGTATGTAATAGCTTCTATGGATCATCATCGTAAGCAGAACTTGAGGGACAAAATGATGGAAGCTTTATGATGAGATTTCCCTGAAACTGAAACTGGGAAATTACCGACTTACTGTTCGGTGAGTGCAAGGATGCATTTCCGGTCAAGTCCAACTCTTCCAATTTACCTGAAGATACAATAGAAGATAAAGCATTATTTCTTTTCACAAGTTACGTTATACATGTGTTGCACTATCTCTTTTTATCTGTATGCGAGCTGAATTTTCGTACAAAACCAAGACGTTAAACTTTATCTTTCTCTACCACCGCGAATAGTCCAGGATGCAACAGTTTGAACTCTTGCGGAGCGTTGTACGGATATCCATCACACAACATGATAGCTCAATAGGCTTTAAATAAAATAAAAAGAATATCACCAAATGTGTAGTTCTAATTAAAATATCTGATAATTAAGAGAAATCTATATTATACATCCTTCTTCACCAATCACTTTATTAACAACAGAAGGGGTTCATTTATTAGCTATTTGTGAAGCTCCTTGTGTTCAAGAGAGCTCATCTCTACTAAACTGGGAAGAGGCTAGGGGGGTTGCTTAATTGGCGAATCAAACCCTGTCTAATTGCAATAGCAGACGCCATGAAATGAAAACCCTTATAATCCAGAAAAGTAGAAGAGACCCCTAAGAGAATTTTGCTGACCAACCTCCCAATATATATATATATATATAGCTCAAGCATATGAAAATCCCATTCTCATACTCGGCTATTGATAAAACTTTTTTATGTTTCATTTGGGATAGCTTTTTTACTGTTTCTTGAAGCAAGCTTTTTAATACAAAAATTTTAATTTTTATACTAAAAAGCTGCTTCAAAAAGCAGTAAAAATGTCATCCCAAATGAAGCCTTAGTCTACTTATTATACTTGCTCCTAGCTTTGAAGAATCATTTTCTTTTAGATGCTTACAACAAAATATTTTTGTAGAACTTGTTAGCCTCATGGAAATAAAAAAAAAAGTAATTTAACAAATTTCCCTGCATAATGAGATCATGCCACCCCACAAAATAAGAAGAGAAGAAAAAAAACCTAATAATTTGGTGTAGTTACCGTAAAATTGATAAATACCTTACTAGAACCACAAGTTATCCATAACTATGGAGGTAAAAGCACATCAAGATAATAATCCACTTAAGATACTCCCATGGGGCAATAAGTATCACAAATTTCTCAGCAAGGAACATATCCAGGTCATATTAAGGCTCTACTTTGGCACTAAAGGGTCCAGTTCATGGAGTTAGTTTGATTGTGGGCTGCAGCCGAACTATAGCTCCACCTGCCATGGTCAAACTTTATCATCCTTCCCTATTATGAATAGCTGCTGGAAATGCAAATGGTAAATTCTAATTTAGATAACCGTCTTTAATCAACTTCTATTCATAGCTAGCTTTAGCATGGTCCTTTTTCTTTAGTCCCTTGCACATATGATAGGGCGCCAGCTCTCCACAAATGTTCTAAATATCCAAAAATCTCTACCTTTTCTACCACTCCAGAGCCTAAGTCACGTATAATATCCAAACAAGAAAATTATTCTCTACAATCCGCACTCACCATATATCCTGTCAGTTCTTTAGCTGAAATAAAAAACACTTTAAAAGGCTGAATGTGTTTTACACGACAAATTTAATGAATATAAAAATATAAACACTAGCTAGTAAATTTTCAATTTGGATATTATGTAGAGCTCTATATTTGCTAAGAGATCATTTCAACTCATACCATTCGATTTCCTCAGCGCATCTTGTATGATTGACAATGATTCAGGAGGTAATAAATTAGATCCTGCATTGATTGATACTAGATCTAGAGCTTGCGAGACAATGCGATGAATAAAATGAGCAGCTTGGATCCCGCCACGATTTTTGCTGCAAAAATAAAATTAAAAATGTTAGCAATAAGCCTTCCACAAAAATAAGAGTACAATAATAACAACCTTATGTTAAGATGAGCAAGTGTCGTCTTGTTTGGCATTTTTCTTTCAAGCTCCTGGAAGCCAAATGGTCCCAATCCAATACCTTCAATGTTAAGATTTCTAATCCGTGAAGCACCCAAAAATTTGGCCAGTGGTGCTGCCACAGAACTAAAAATTCAATAATTAAAACTATTTTTTTTTTCTTACAGAATTAAAAGTAATAACTGTGCTTTTATTTGAGGAAAATGCACCTCCCAAGATCATTGTCTGCAAAAGATAGAGTCTTCAGCTGGCCTGTCTTCATAGTAAGGCTTTGCAAAAGTTCGGATGCTCCTGTCCCTGAAAGATCACAGTTCTCCAACCACATTTCTGTAACTTGAGAGGTCACCTCAAGATCTTTGACAAAAAAAGGGATTAATCTTCTGCAGAGGACCAAGAAAAACAATTATTACGGTAAAAATATATAATTAGTGCTTAACATTGTTGATTAAGCAACATAAAAAGATTTCTTTTTAATAATGTGTTCATGCCTCCTTCCTGATTCAAGAGAAGAGCAGTCCACTGATCTATAAATACCTGACTCCATCATCCCTGATCGGATTATCACTCAAGTCTAATCTCGATAACTTTGGCATGTTAACCAGCACGTGATAGAGGCCCACCATATCATTCATTTGCAAATTGTTACCCCTGAAATCATAAAAGAATAATGGAAAATATTGAAGGCTTGCAAACATTACAGGCTGCAACTAGAAAAAGTTCAAGCAGGCCAGGTTCATTGAATAGGTCTTTCTCATTCTCTTTTTTTTTTTTTTTCTTTTTTTCATATATATATATTTTTTACTTGGCTAAAACTGACTGTTCTTTTTTGGCGGACTGCCGATGAGTTCTATATATTTGTTATTTCTGCAGCCTTGGTTCATGTCAAAGCAATCCTCCTGGTCTGCCCAGCGGAGAAAAGTTGAACATTGATGTTAATTCGATAATCAATGGTAAAATTTATATCAAAATTAATGAAATGAATGGAAATTTTGAACTTTGCAAGTGCTTAAGCAACCCTTAAAGGCGCCAGGAGCCAATCCAATTGCTATGAGAAATATACAAGTATTTGCTAGCCAACCCCAAATAGTTAGGATAAGGCTAATGATCATGATGTATATGACTACTGTAGTCAACTTCATTAGAATACGACTCGCATTGCTGCGTCTTTTTTATCATGGATGGACTACTCTAAAATTACTAGGATTGTCTCGGCTTCCCAAACTATGCAATGCACTGTTCTAACTGTAAGAGGAATTACTTCATCCAGACTTTCTACATACAAATATTATACATAAACCTACATGTATAAAGATCTCAATTATTTTTATCTGCATATTCAGAATGATTTCTTAATAGTGGACTTACAAACTTTATTCTCCAAAAAATATAGTTGGTTAGTGATACCTCAAGTTGAGTTCAACTAATGACTGCAAGGAAATAGGTGATTCCAAAACGGGAGAGAAACTAATGTATTTCCTGCCAACCTTTGAAAGCAAACCTTCAAGCTGTGCAGAAAGATTGCAATTAACATGCATAACAATCAAGCAGCAAAACGAGGAGTTGAAGAAAATAAACTCTTAAGAAGTCAACAAGCGGCTCACCTCATTTCCAGACAGCTCAAGATTTACCAAACTGCTCGATGACTTGATCAGGATTTCAAAGATGAACTCAGCAGCCTTTAAACCCAAGCGCGTATCAGTAAAGCGGACCGAGTGAAGTGATCTAACGTGTTTTAGAAAGCCATAAAATAACATCACAAACAGTGACATGATGATATTTTAAACTTCTAGTATGGCATGAACTTTATAGTTCAATTATTACTTTAAAATTAGATTATCACATGGACTTTGCTTGTAAGCTGTTTCAGAATTTGAGAAAAATGACATGATCTTGAAAGTTCGCATGTCTAGAATGGCTTACTGAATGCGGCCTAATCTTAACCGAGTTACAAAGATAATCTTTCTATAACGTGAATCTCAACAAGCAAACAGAAAAAAAATCCGAGCATATTAAAAAGGTACTACTAAATTTAAATCAAGAATCTGATCGAGACATAGAAAGCAGATCTATAAGCTTCCATGTCCCATGTCCAGAGTTATCACACATTCAAGAAGGTCAAGGGATGGGTGTTTTTTCATGAGAAATCAAGAACCTATAGAAGGGGTGAACAACTGAAATCTACACCTAGTTGGCTTATATGTATATCAGGGATGCTGAAGCACACTAGGAAAAGCATGGGTTTTATTTTTAATCAAGCAAGCAAGCAACAGATTTTACAGAAGACCAATGGGTACCAAGCTATTGATCGTAAGTTGTCTGTATATATATATATTGCATGTTAGTATTGATGTTGTGACAGATCAACAAAAAGACCTTCCTTGTGATAGAAAGGATAAAAGCAAGAATGTATAAATACAGGTATTCAAGTACACCGGAATACTTAAAATTGGACATCACATTTAACCAAACGGAATGTGAAGCAAAAAACTTTTCACATCTTAGCAGTTGAAGTTATCAAATGAGTGAGAAACGAACCTTCCTGATGATAGAAAGAATGAGAGCCCACAAGGTATGGAAGATGATTTGCTTCCAAAAATAGTTGATGATGTAATAGAGAAATGCCGGATGCCATGGCTATGAATTTCCTTGTCATAAACAGAGTTGCAAATCATCTCCATATCCAAGGGAGAAAGCTTACAATAAACTAGTTCGAGAGATATCAAAGTTTCCCTATTTTGAGTAATAAGCTTGCACACTCCATCCACCTGCAGAGAAATCCAATGAAACATGGAAAAAGAAAAGAACCTAAAAAGAAGCAAATAATCGTGAAGAAAAGTCCAAACCACATAAAATTTGCAACAGTCCACAAAAAAAATAAGGTGCAAAATTTTGTTTTAATACTCCTTTAATGAACTATACAAGAGCAAATATACACTAAACAAAATAACTTATAGCTATGAAAGGAAGTTATTTTCTTCAAGTTAGGTCATGAAAAATTAAACAATGGAAGATAACAAAATATAAGGCTTACATGTCTTCCAGACAGTATTCTCCGAAACACTAGAGCTTCCAACTTGCTTGTCCTCAAAAAATCCTACAGCATTTCATGTAAACGAAAAAAATGTTAAGTCTTAAAATCTATGTCAAATGGTGATTTTCGCAGAGAAAGATAAATTTCAAAGCAAACGCCAAATGCAAAGTTTCACATCATCATCAGGCTTATCCCAACTTCACGTTGAAAAAAAACCTTTTTCAGCTCATTACCTATCTAAACAAGTGAGAAAATAGTTACATCCATACAATATCTCGATGCAGTAGGCTTTGTAGCATGCTTTAGAATTTTTAACAATTAGTAAAATTGCCAAATATAAGATTCATTATGGTATTAAACATGGCAGTGAATTTCATCATGCAAGGAAGCTAAATTTTACAATATGGGAACCAAAGAAAGATCTTGTGTTAGATCGGTCCATTGAACCGGTCCAGCCGGTCCACACGGGACAGGCTTAGGCGGAACAGAGGAAGAGCCTTCTGCATCTCCTGTACGCCGATCGGACCGCAGGAGCCACCGAGCAGTTTAGGAAGGTTTTTTGAGGGAGTTAGGAGGGAAATTTGAATGTAGGTACTGTTTAGAGATTTCCTTTTGGATTGTATGCATTAAATAGTTTGTTTTCCTAGGGTTAGGGCATCTGGAATTTGGCTGAAATTTGAGATCTCTTAGGTTTTTGGGTTCTAGCAGCATCTAGAGAATTGGGAGAGAAAGATCCTCCCTCTCGAATAGAGGATCTATTGTATCTTACTATTTACTTACGTTAGTTTGTGTTCTTGCAATAAAATTTCTGTTTTTCTCTGATTTTCTGTTGGATTTGTGGAGATTTCTCGCTGTTTTTGTCAAGATCGTTAGGTTTTAGTTGAGATCTTCAAGTGTTTCCTAACAAATTGGTATCAGAGCAATTTCCTAAGCTGAAATATAAGTCTTATTTGCTGAATTTTGCTGTGTTCCGTATCCGATCGTGTTGGCTTTTTGCTGATTGAGGCCAGAATTCGCGTCAAACTTGCGGCTCTTGCTATTGGAGCCTAAATCCAATTTCCCATGGTAGGAAGAAAGGTAGAAGTGTTGGAAGGTGAGATCTGACAATTGAAAACTGAAATTTGAGATCTCCACGCTAAACTTTCAGATGTCAAAAGTCAAATTTCAGCCATCCATGAGAAGATGGATGGGAATTTTTCTAGCCCGGGGGAGATGTTGAAGAAGTTGCTCGAGGGCCAATCCAAAATGACAACACCGGAGGCAAGGTAAGCATCCAACAACCCAGGAAGCGGGGAAAACTCTAATCCGATAAGGCAAAGGGAAGATCAGGAGGTGGAGACTCAAAAGGGAAAAGAGAGAATGCCTCCCTTGGAGTCTGTTCCTATGGGGGAGCCAGGTAGGGGGGTATAAGGAGAATCGTGAGGGGGTGGAGCATGAACAAAGGGGTGCTGAATTGGAGAGGAGAGGGATGGAATTTGAAAGGGAAAGGGGTAATTATGACCAAAGAGGGACTGAAATTGAAAGGAGAGGGATTTATTATGATCCAAGGGGTGCTGAATTTGAAAGAAGAGTGTGGGAATTTGATGAAAGGTTTGGTTCTCAACTATATTATAGGACTATTTTGGTCCCTCAAATCTTTAAAAGGAAATCAAAATAGTCTCATGAGACTATTTTAATTCCTCTTTAAATAGTTGAGGGACAAAAATTGTCATTTAATATAGTCTGAGATTATTTTGGTCTTTTATAAATAGTCAAGGGACCATTATAATCATTTTCTCAATAAAAATAGCAACAACCCAAACCCCCAGATTCAGATATAAAGATTTCTCTACTCTTCACTGCTTACCCAACTTGTACTCCTCTCAGACATTTTCTTTTTTCAGTAACATTGAATCTTCCAATCCATGTCAGCCATTTATAAATCAAAGCAGGTCAAAGAAGACTTTAAAAAAAAAGTAGCTTAATGAAGGCTAAAAAGCATATGAACAGTATCACTTATCTGGCATTGCATCAATAAAAAAGATTTAAATTAAATATGTTGATTTCACTCTTAGATAGTTACAAACCTTGTATGGATGAAAGTGAGAATAGTAAAGCACATCACATCTATAAAAGCAGAACATTTAAGCAAACAATTTACTCAATGCTAAATGCTCTACTTACCAAAATTTTATCATGGCAAAGGACGCTCTGGAGTCTCATACATCTGCATTTTATGAAAAACAAATTTAGGAGACAGAAAACATGGATCATGCTTATGCGGGAGTTGGACAGATTAAATAAACAAATAAAAGAATTACGTCATCATCATTATTCTAAAGCAACCATTTTCAGTTGTCTGTAAGAATCTCTCTTCAGCCCTCACACCTGTTAACCGTTGCATGTGCTGTTAACTACAACTCATGCAAATCTCTTAGCAAAAATTTTCAACACATTTATCTACTGTCTAGTTTCTTTTTTCTTCCTATTACTTCAAAATTTTTACTATCCACCGACTTCATTTTCCCCGTAACACATGCCAACATGACTACAAGTTAAATTCCCATTACCCGCAGACTTCATTTTACATCAAAATACAAAATTGCTGCTTCTTAGTAACAGCCAAGCTCAACAACAATGATAACTATTTAAATGTGTTCCATAAAAAAGCAACATTAAGGTAGAATCAAATTAATTAATGTGGAAACATCACAAGCTCACAACCATTGAGAAAAGCAAAATAATTTCACTTAACGACAAGCAAAAAATAATAATCAATCTACAAACGTACCAAACTAAAAATAGCAAATCAAATAACAGATAATGAACATGCTAAGCTAAGAGCTCATGGCAACACCCTGCAAGCTCCCTTACCTAAAAAATGCATCAAACCACCCAAACCTTGGTGTTCTGGAAACAGTTTGTTTAACAAAACTCAATAGGAAATTATCTTGCCTGAATGGAGACCAATGTCAAGCTAACAGGTACCATTATAGCTCAATCTTAAATGAAATAACTTCCAGAATAAGTGAATAACATTACAAAATTTTAAGCATAACTGAATGTCTATCAAACCACCACTCCAAGAAGCCTCAAAAAGAACTTATAAGAGAATTAAAGAGAATTTAAGATGCTGAACTCTAAATGAAACATTGTAAGCAGATCCCAAAGAGATATGCAAGCCACTGCCTAAGATGAAGACAAGGTTTGGTGTTTAAAAGTGAAAAGCATTGCAATAAAAATGGTATGCCACTAAACAAGCCAATTAAACAAATACTAATCTTGCTCCGTAGCAGTAATTTTAAAGATGCTTCTTTCACAAAAATAGAAACCTAGGAGATGAAGGCTTTCAAATGACTAATTCTTTCCATTATCAGTTTCACCTACCCTCATATTTTGAACATGATAATTAATAAGTATTCATTGAAGCACACCAATTAGGTGCAAACCAAAAGTGCGTGTTATGTCTAAAAGGCAGACCAAAATAGATCTGAGGATCAAACTATGAAAAGGGTGGTTAATCCAAAAGTCACTTCAAGTCTATAAGAAGAAACTACCCACTCAATTTGGGCATTAAATTCCAAAGATCAAGAAATGGGGTTAATTAATGATTGTACACCATATGATTTATTAATGAAGACTATTGACGATGATGATTCTCATATCATACCATCAAACATAATTATTAATTGCATTTTTAGGGGTCCTGTCATAATTAAATTTCATTCTTGAATTTGTTTCTTCTTTTCTTTCTTTAGAAGGGTAGTTATGTATCTTCGAGTGTCTAGGGCTTATTAAGATCGACCGCCTATTTATATTCCTTGGGGTAAGGTGGTGGGCAAAGAAGATAGCAATTGAGTCTATGACTCCGCCACAATCGGTCTCCATAGCTTTTATACCTTAATCACAACGTTCTGGACGCTTTCACTGCAATTCCAGAGGCTATCCAACAGGTTCCAAGAGCTGGTCCATCTACATAAGCAGCTATTTGACAGTCTTCCTCCTGTTTTCTTGCAATACCCGGCTTGCACAGAGTTTGGAGACAGCAGTTAGGAGGTTTTTCATGGGTTCTATTAGTACCTGTGGTTGAGAAAAGGCAAGTGCGGTAGAATTCTTGAAGAATAGGGGCCACCAAACACAGTGCATTCCAGCAGTGACTCTTAGGTGGGCGCAAGAATCAATTAAAGTGTCTTCACTGTTTTGAAGCAGCAAGAACGCCTCTTCTTGATCCCTAGAAAACGCAACGCAAAATCAGGCCTCTGATGTCCATTCTATAGACATTAGTTGTTTTCTTGATTTCTTGAACAAACTACCCTTTTCTCTTTTAAATTGTTTTCACAGGTGGCTGGATTTCCAACATTCTATGAAGAGACTAAAGCAAATAGTGGAATATGAAGAAAGAAAACAAGGCAGGATGGCAGCTAGGATTTGGCAGCCAAAACTCTAAGTCATGACACTAAATGGTGTAGGCAAAAAACAAAATTCAAATGGGTATTTATTGTTGGGCTGAAATTAGCTTAATGGGCTTGGCCCAATTTCCTTTTGCTGTTTGGTTTTTGGGATGGCTGTCTGTTGGGCGCCCGGCTGTTTGGTTCCTGAGCCTGCCGTGCCCTTTTTTCCTTGGTTTTTATTGGGTTTCTTGGTTTGTTCCGATTTTGGATGGCTATTGGGATGCTTGACTACTCGGTTCTTCGGCTTACAGTGCCTTTTTTCCTGATTTTTTCCCTCTGTTTTGGTTGGCTGATTTGGGCGGCTGCTATAGGTGATTGTTGGTATCATTTCCCTATTTATAGGGGCTGTTTGTTGTTGTTTAGTAAGGAGTTTTTGATGATTTTTGGAATGTAAACCTGCAGGTTTTCCTAGCTTGCGAGGTAAGTCTCCTTTCCCCTTCTCCTCTTATATTTCGTTTTGGACTTCTACCTATTTCTTCTCTCCAGAGTTTTCCCTACCAATTGTATCCTTCTTCTCAAAACTTTTGAAAGTTGAAAGTAATGTTGTGTTTAAGATTTGAAGTTGTCTTTTTATTTGAAATTGATTTGTGTTGTTTAAGTTATAGTGAAATGAAATCTTGGTATTATGCAATTTTAATTTTCATTTGCATCAATTTGGTATCAGAGCTTTAGGTTGTGAGTCTTCCTTTGTATTTAAAGGAAATTAAAAAAGGGAGTCAAAACAGTCAACAAGCCAAAGTTCACTTCAAAAGGAAGATCTACGTCAAAAATAATGCATTCGGAACATCAAGAAAGCATTGTCATTCAACCTAAGTTTGCAATGTCGCCATCCTGATATTTTCCAAAGTGTACCGAGGCATTATCATCAGGAGATGAGATTTCTCCACCAAGGGAGAATTGATGTAGGCAAAAAACAAAATTCAAATGGGTATTTATTGTTGGGCTGAAATTAGCTTAATGTGCTTGGACCAATTCCCTTTTGTTGTTTGGTTTTTGGGATGGCTGGATGTTGGGCGCCTGGCTGCTTGGTTCCTGAGCCTGCGTGCCCTTTTTTTCTTGGTTTTTTCCCTCTGTTTTGTTTGGCTGATTTGGGTGATTGCTTTAGGTGATTGTTGGCATCCTTTCCCTATTTATAGGAGTTGTTTGTTGCTCTTTAGTAATGAGTTTTTGATGATTTTTGGAATGTAATCCCGCAGGTTTTCCTAGCTAGCGAGCTAAGAATCCTTTCCCCTTCTACTCTTATATTTCGTCTTGGACTTCTACCTATTTCTTCTCTCCACGGTCTTCCCTACAAATTGTATCCTTATTCTCAAAACTTTTGAAAGTTAAAAGTAGTGTTGTGTTTTAGATTTGAAGTTGATTTGTGTTGTTTAAGTTATAGTGAAATGAAATCTTGGTATTATGCAATTTTAATTTTCATTTTCATCACTAAATTATCATCTTCTCGAATCAAGAAAGCTATGCTATATCAGGTTCTCTGTTTTTAATTAAGTTCAGAGTCTTGCGTCTTTGATTGGGCATTTGGTCACCTAGTTGGTTTGTTTACACTAAATGATAGGGTGACTGGAACTATTCTAGCCAATTTGGAGACACCTTCTAGCACATGGGAGTGATGGTTATCCTTAGCAGCAATGTATCAAGCACCACAACAGCACGATGGAGTTGAAGCAGGTCAGGGATTCGGGCATGGCAAGCAGAGAATGGACCCAGTTTTGGGCAGAACCTGAAGAGGGACAACAAAAAAATAATTAATAAAATAATAAATTGATTAAATATTCACAATCTCATATTCTCGTTTTCTTTGTTTCTTCAATTGGTCAAACCCTGTTAATATGTAGGTCCTCATTTTCGATCTGTTTTAGCTTACTACTATGAGCTTGACAATAATCTTAAGAGGATGACTACATATCAAAATTTTATTAGAGCGCCAATCATTGGTATATGGTACAACCAATATCAAAATATAAATATAAATGAGAGATGTTCTTATCTTAGAGTCAACTCAAAAGCCAAGAAAAAAAAACAACAGCAAGAAGAAGAAAGTCAACTAATGGCTAATAACGATTCTGCACAAATCTAGCTGATTACATTGCTAGAGTAATGGGACGGCCACAGTGATGGGGTGTATAAGAATGCTAACAATTGCCACGATGACTGGTGGGTTAAGTCATATTCCTCATCCTCATTCCCTTTCGAATGCAAACACAGAAGAGGATGGAGAGAATGAAGCAGAGAAAATGGCTACCACTCATAAAGGAAGAATGTAATCAGTCAAGTACAAGGCAAAGTAAAGATTTTAATAAGGATGCCTGGTTTAAAGAATATATTTTTATACGGATGTCTAATGTCAAGAAGCTGGATTGTCTGGTTCAAGACTTATTTTATATTGTATGATCACAACACACATGAGACGTTTGTCTTTATCTCATTGAAGTCTATCAGTCATGTCCTTGAAATGTGGAATACTGGACTGTTTGTATCAAAAGAAGAAATACCCGCAAAGATGACTTAGGGGATTTTCAGGCAAGTTATATGCTAAGAGTTCTACCAAATGAGATATGGTAAGGACTGGTGGAAAAAATGGCGCAATCTAAGGCAATGCCAAAGACAATCTGTGCAGGAATATACCATAGAGTTTCATCGTTAATGGTCACATAAGGATAAATACTTGGGGAGGTAAAAACACTGATAAGGGGTGCCTCAAGGTCTGTCCTGGACTGTCTGGAGATAGGGAGATAGGATATGTCACTTTCTTCCGCCTTCTAGACCGAAGGCA